GCCGAAGGCCCAAGGTAATTTTTAAATTCAGAGTCTCTGAAATGCCATTTCCTGGACTTTGGCGGATGATTTGACAGAATTCTGATTGTCAGAAAACAACGTTTTAGTATGTTGAAATTTACAATTTAGTAGTACTAAATGGGTGAAGGCATATTTAATTAACTACCGGGTGGCCCAAAAAAAAGTACTCCTGTTTGATTCGTAATAACATCTAAACAAGTATAGCTTTTAAAGAGAAATAACTTGCATCAAATAGAGGAAGGACTAACTTAGACTTTGATATATTACAGTTGTATTTCACTTAAAAATTCACGGAGATATTAATCTTTAAATTCGGGAGGATATTTCTGGATGTGTCTGAAATATGCAAAAATCGGCGTATCAAATATTAATCAAGATTTGCCCGACTGAAACATGCACTATTACCGGTAAATAAATGACACTTGACAAATTGTTTATTATGAAACAAAGTATTATTATATCTACAAAATACAAGCAAGATTCATTCGTCCGAAATTCGCGTGTGTTTCTAGCACGAATACGTTTCCTTATTTCATGAGACCACTGCATCGCGAAGGATCGTCATTGGATCGTTCGTAGTTCTGAATTAGGGCATGCTGTCACAACGGAATAGTGAAGCTCTTCTAACTTCTGCAACGTTCTGAAATCTTGTTAAGAACACCCAAACTCTTTTGCCGTTTCTTAATCTTGGCAAGTTCATGGAGTAAACTGAGAATTATATGAAACAAAATCAAACCATACAACTCCATAAGACATAACAATTAAGCAACTCCCCAGAGACATGCAACATTTTTGGAACAAAACGTAACAAAATAGTAGCGTTGATACGGTGATGTGTATTTGCAAAAAGCAATATTATTTCCTTCCATAAAGAATATTCATCCTGCTCTAACCGAGAAATAATCTACTCAGTCTGTTTGAACCCATTAAAAACATAAAAAAATTAGGCTATTTAAGAATACGAAAAATTTAAGCGCCTGCCTTCCATGGTCAGTCTTTCATGTACATTTCAGTTTGCAAAGACCTAATATTAAATACTTGCATAATTTCGAACGTTCATATTTCAGGAAACAATGAGCTAAGACTTACATGTAAGATGTCTAAATCTACGCCATATCCCTTACAAGCCTTAACGATAATTCGCTGAAATACAAGTTAGCCTAATATGTCATTAAGCAAACAAACGCTGGAGTTAATATTTGATATGCCGATTTTCGCTAATTTTAGACACATTCCAAAATATGCTCCCCATTTTTAACATTACTATATCCGTGAATTTTTAAGTTAAATACAACTGTAATATATCAAAATCTAAGTTAGTCCTTCCTCTATTTAATGCAAGTTATTTCTCTTTAAAAACTTTACTTGTTTAGAAGTTATTACGAATCAAACAGGAGTACTTTTTTTTGGGCCACCCGGTATATATTGGATAAGTTGCAGGAAAGTATGGGTATTGGGTAATATCTTAATTCTTTGCAGTTTGTCATGGATTAAATGATAAAGGTCTGCATGATTTTGAAAAAAGAATGATTATTGGCAAATTAATTGGGGGGGGGGGGCTGCAGCCCCCCCCCCCAGTTGCTACGGCATGTAATTTCCTGTTTGGTTGGAGAATTTGTGCCTGCTCAACTGGTAATTGAGTCCCAAAGCTGAAGCACTGAATATAGAGACCAATATATGTACAGAAGACTGATTTCTAATGGTTTTGCTATGATTTTGTCATAACCGTTGCAATGCTGTCACCAGGGGTGTGGTGACCGGGGGGGGGGGGGCTTGGCTTGGGGGTGCAACGTGCCCCCAATGATTCTACACATTAAACAGTTGGTCAAAATGTTTTGTTGTTGGTCAAAGGAAATATTAAGAGTAAATGCGCTAGTTTGTTTTGGGACCAATTTTTGTCAATATGACTCTGATAGTTTTACAATCAACACAGATCTTGCAATTCTAGCATTTATCGCAGAGACAGGAGCGCACAATATTTTTTAAAATTTTTTATTTAGCTTTGCCAACTAGGGCAGGGTCACCACAACAGCATATGCCAATTACTGTGGGCCCTTTTACCTAACCCACCCTATCAACTTTCCCTGTGGGAGAAAAGTGGAGTACCCGGAGAAAACCCACGACTTTCGGCAGAGCGTTGACTTTTACCCTTTTCACATGAGGACTGGGTTCGAGTCGC